ATATATAGAAAAAGCACGAAGGGTTAAATCGATCGTTATACGTTAAACATAATATAATATATGTGAATCACTGCAAATATATACATACATAAATTTTTCGGTAATCATATTTTTCTTTTCGCCGTAAACGCTGCCTTCCTGCTTACGATTAATTACATAGTTTTATACATTTGTATACATTATATTTACACTTGCATATCGCGATATCTGGATCTTCCTTTAGATTTTTAGTTACCAAAGTGACCATAAGCATTTGCGTTGAAATTTTTTTTTTTTTTTACAAGAGTTGCCGTTATCCTTTGTTTTCGTACCAAGCAAGGCTTTGTGTGGAGTCTTTCATTCTCGTGTCGATAAGACATATATACCTCAACTGCAAGAAAAGAAGAAAAAGGAAAAAAAAGACGGTGGCAGCCGTGAGTAAGTATCTGTTGAACTTACCTAGAAGAATGGACTTTTTTTTACTGCCTGTGGGATACAATGTAAATTCATTAAAACGCATATATCTGTATTGTTACGTGGTATATATACCCACAAAAGTGTCCAAGTCTTTTGTTAAACGGCAATAATAACGACGAGAAGGGAGAGATCCATACGAGAGACACTACGTACGGAGCAAGTTAACAAAAGTGGAGAGAAAAAAAAAGCTTTTTTTCCGAGCAGTGCCTTTTGTGAAAAGTAGGGGCGCTTGCGGGCTGTGTGACAATCTCGTGTACCCGTGCGAGAAAGAATCTCGTTATCGGTCTTCGCAGGGATCATGTCGAGGATTCGAGGGAATTTACATGCTTTCTTTGCTCCCTGAACGACTCTACAAAAAATTCTCCGTTTTTTTGTTTTTATTAAAATAATTTACCAATTAATTTTTCAGAGAATTATAATATAACTATCTTAAAAATATTACCAATTTGCAAAGAATCGGTCGAAAATTTTTTTTTTTTTCTTATCTACATTTTTGCTGCTGAACCGAAACTTTGCGTACTTGACAAATTAATGATCAATAAATTAATAGTTTTTCATCTGAGTAAAAAGCACTATTTTAAGATAAGATTTTGTGGTAACTTTTAAATGTTTTGTTATTTTTTGTATAGTGTTGGCACGTAAATAATCGCTAATTAATTATTATTAATGTAAACATATGTTTGTATGAAAAAAATATAAATCACACGTGCACATAAATGTAAGTAAGTTAAAACTTTTCGATTTTATTAGCAAGGAGATTAATCATAGCTGGTAGAAAAGCCGTATATAAATGGCATGAAGAAGAAATCGTCCGCATGTCTCATAAGGAATCTCGATCATCATATCAATTTTTAAGGAATGAAAGCTATTCAAATCTAATTAACGATACTTCGGTAAGTATAGAAAAACTGAGGAGAATAAGCGTTATAAAATCACATTAAGGTCTTGTAGGTAGCAAATCGGATGAAATGAAGGTGAATTTCCATTTTTAATTCGGAGGGATTGGTAGTAAATCAAGTTTTCGATCAGAAATTAGTTTCATCGATATTCTCACTTTATACATGTACATTAATCTAACTTGACTATCTACTTTTATCTTCCTCTTTTTTTCGTTTGCTCTCTGGGTTTTTAATAAAACTTTGTAAGTATTTACTTCCGTTATCTTGATTACACAAATAGGTTTTATCGATGTGAACTCGTCGAAATTGATCAGTTTTTATTAAAACTTTACTTACTCCCTCTTTCCCTGCGTTTGATATACATTCTAATAGGGATTCTTCTTTGTGTGCGGAGAATTTTATTTCGTCGTTGGATTATCAAGTTAATAGTCATTTGAAGTGTAAAAATCGACGATTCATCAGGGAGTTTTACTTTTCCGATGAAAATTCTCGCCACGAAGACGGATTGAAATTTGTGTGATAAAAAAAAGTAGTCGTATGTTTTTACGTGTTTTTAATTAATTTTATTTGTATATTTGCTGGCCTAATCTTAGAAATAATTTATTTTCGTAGTAAAATATACTTTGGCTCTACACATTATGTACTTGGTAAAAAATTGATTATAATTCATACATGAATATATTAATTTTTGTAAATTACGTACGATAAGTGAATAAAAAATCTCATACAAAAACTTCAAAAATATTTTTATTGACTCGTTGAAAAAATATTAACAATTCAATATACTCATCTGTGTTGTAATTAATTTTTTTTCTTTCGTCAGCGTCAGTAATTGATAAATAAAATTCAGTTTGAAAAATAAAACAAATGCTGTAATGACAATTTTTTAAATTTGATTGATTAAAATTTTTTTATATCATACTTCACAAGTAGAATACTGCACAAATCTATTTATTGCTATACTAGTATTAATAGCATTAACCGTTTGTAGTAAGCTTTGAATTAAATAAATTTATTCCCTGTTGCCTCTTCTATATCGCTATTGTTATAATATTCTTTTCTCCTTTTCTTACTATTTTGATAAAAAAATTTCACAGCACCGTCACAAAAATTTTCGCTACTCGACTTCGTTGATTATTTCTGGTACACTTCCTTTACAATATACAATATTTAAAAGCTAATTACAAAAACAGAAAACAAATATAAATATTACTTTGCGAGCTACTGACAAAAAAATATTAAAAATTTTTTTTTTAAATAAAGTATACATTCACTAGATATTTTTTACATAATTTATACCTTCATCATGAAGCTATCATCGCGCTTTGGCGCATTGCAAAAATGCAAATGCTCAGATTGCTTTTTGTAATAATTATATTCATCCTTGAAAATTCTAATGACAATAATGTTGATTTTCATAATTTTTCATATTTATAATTATAATAAAAAATGTTAATCCATAGTTTTGATGAACTCAACTGCCGAGCAGAATTGAGTCCACCAATACTGCTCCTCTCCCTCTAATTGATTTCCATAGAAACTATTAACATACTGTATTGTTGACAATAACGCTGGGGGATTTGTCTGAAAAAAAACAAAAAAAAAACAGTTTTTATTTTTATCTAAAATTTAGAAGAGTCAATCAGTTATAAAATTATAGCTTGTGATCATTTTACCTTGATAATCACATAGACGAGTACTGGAATAAGGTCGTCTGCAGCAGGTATACCTCGTTCCGAAGCCATAGACAAGAGATTCATAATAGTGGTGGCACAACGCAAAACACACTGAAGCTTATCACGGGGAGTTTTGTAAGCCGAGATGACACCAAGTTCAGCCTGGGCCCAAGGCCAGGGGCACTCGTAATGATAGATTTTGGGTATACGCAAATCCTTATGGTTTGGAGTGACGATCTTGGCGAGTTTTTTTATATGATCGTGAAATACATGGTCACGATGAATGTCACCGTCGCCGTTCGGGAACAGGGCGTTTTGGTAAACCAAAGCCATGAGTGTGCGCTCTACTACTATTCGAGCCAATTCTAGATGATTCAAACTTGCAGCTGAGAAGAAAATGGATTATTGTTTAATGACAATAACTGTTTCTCTTGTAAACAAATTTCACTTACTTTGCCATATTAGATCGTTTTCCATCTCTTTGTGTAATTTGTTCAAAAAAGTATCAACCAAATCTTGTTTTTCATCAGCCACAGTTAATTTTTTGAATTCCTCATTGAACCTTTGCACATGCATTTCTCGCTTTTCCAAGAACACTCTGACGCACACATACACCAGATGACTATTTACAGCATCACGATCACACTTAACTCGTTCCCCTAATCTAAAATACGCGATAAACAAAGATTTATCAATATAAACGATCTTTTTTTTTTTTTTTTTTGTAATGTAAAAAAGATTAAATTACTTTTCCAAATGTGCAGTCGTGGACAGAAGGCCTTGCCGACATCTAATCAAATAAGCAATGTACGGCGAGCGCTTTTGATAATCATCTCCAAGAGACTTGAATAATTTTCTACAACCATCCTCGTTAAATAATCTAACGCAGCGAAGTGTCTCGTGCAAGTGAGCGATCAACGCTCGATCTTGCAAGTTTATGGCCTCAGCCAGCTGAAGTTGGAGAAAGGCAATCAATTCATTCTCTTTTTGCATCCATGAATTTCTCTGTAATAATAATATTTAACCCGCGATTGTGAAAAATTGTATTTTTCAATGAACCAATAAATTTTATTATTTGACGATTTAACGTTTACCTCAGAGACGTTAGACCACGGTACATGTTGCAAATCTGCCGTGCTGAGAACCATTCGAAGCTTTCTCTTAGCATCGGTGAAAGCGAACGACAGCTCGACATTGTTTGGATCAATAAAAAGCCTCTCATCCTCGATCTCCTTGGTTCGCGACTGTGAACTTTCTACCGACGCTGTATCGCTGTTAGTACTTGGCTTTCTTCTGTACTTGGCTAATATGTCATCTGTTGTATCTGCAAAACAAACGGCACGCTTCAATCTGCTGAACCGGGCCTAAAAAATAAAGTTATTTCTTACCGCTGTTTATGCTGCATGTGGACGTGGTATCTTCAGACATGATCCTCCTAAGCCTGTGTCTACCATCACTCCCACCAGACCCTCCAAACTCATTTCCAGAGTCCGACAGACCTCGGTCGTAACATCGGGCCAGCTCATCCGAGCCACGGAGTGACTTGCCCCGACGATTTCTTCCAAGAGACTGTTTCAGCTTATTGAAGAAACCGCGCTTAGCCTTTTGCTCGTCATCCAATAGTTCCTTATCGCCACGTTCCGCCGTCATATCAAAGCTGATGCTTTTAGGTATGGCGCCCGTGGAGCTTAAAGGCTTGCAGAAACTACTCGTAGGGCTCGCGCTGTCTGTGACGTCACCGCAACAGGCATTACTGTTGTTATTGTTTAGTCCATTGACTGCTCCGGCGACGTCGATCGAGGAATTGGTTGTTTTGACGATACGAGGCTCGGAGCCCGAGCTACTGCTCGAGGTCAAACTCACGGTGCTTAGACGAACGACGACATCGACGTTATTGGACATCATGTCATCCAGGCCCTGTACGGTATTTATTTGCATTTAATTAAGAGCAGTATAATTTAATCATTGTATGAAAGATCTCCCGATTAGAAAGTAAATTGTTTCATTAGACGATAATGGGCCCCCTACCATCTTAACGTCACCATTAGGCAGCTTCGGACTCGACGACGAGGTCGGAGCGTTGATGTGATTAGCCAGCAGGAGGGCGGGCGCCACGGCAGCAGCACCGATGTGATTTCCAGCCACGGCAGCGCCAACTTCGGAGCCGTCGTTGCATTTGGCACAGTCGGTTTGCAACTTATCAATCAGTTGGACCAACCGATCCTCACCAATCGACTTGTCGAAGCACATGGCGTTGCTCAGGCTGTTGGCGTTGTTGTCCACGTATTCCCTCGTACTGCGACGGTAGTCCGATCTAGTGCCACCACGGCCCGTTACGTTAGACGAGGACGGCGAGAGTGGTGTTGTCGGCGACGAGGGCAACGTCGCAACCGAACGATTTGACGTCTCGTCTCGAATGGGCCGGAAGAAATTGCTCGCATTGTCCAAAAGCTGGTTCACAGGTGGTGGTGTGTCCTCTCCTCCCTCTGGCTCCCCTCGACTTTCGATTTCCGATCTTGCTGTATCGTCGGACCTACAAACAATTGATTATCCTGTCAAGAAGTTTCAAAGTACGCGGCTTTAGGCTCTTCTTTAGTTACCTTGCAACACTAGCAGTATCATCGGTGTCAACCTCCGTCATTCTCTCCGAGTCGCTAGCTAAAACATCAGTACTCCAGGCTTCCGAAGCCGTCTCGCTGACGTCAAAATTTGCTTGCGGATTTTCCGGAGGCAGTGGAGGTGGTGCTGGCTGTTCTGCGGGCGGAAGAAAGGCGAACCGTTCTTGTTGTTCTACAAGCTCGCTATCTGAAGCTAGTACGTCAGTAGACCAAGTATCCGACACTAGCGATATCGTTTCGTCTCCTGTAAATAACGATGATCATTTGTTTTACGAGCTTTGTGTGAAAAAGTTGATGGAAAGTCTAAAAAGTTATCAATTACCTTCCATTAGTTTTTTTATTTCAAATTTACAAAACTTATCGTCGATTTCGGAACGACTTTGTTTCGTGGCGATAGAGGGTGTCGGCAAATCGTGCTGTCGATTTTCACCACCTCCCCGACCATCATCGCCTTCCGTAATTTGAGAGGATGGGGTATCTCGACCTAATTGTTAGATTGAGATTAGACTGTATTTTTTATTTCAAAGCTCAAAAAAATGTTGTGTCAAAAGTTTACCCGAAATATTTGGTGTTCCTCTACCCGACACATTCGCAGAAACCATGTCCGACAGATTATCGTTTTGATCTTCTGTCTCAAGTTCCAATGACGAAGCTACGCTGTGATTAGATGCCGCTTCAGACACGGCTTCTAAATTATCTGATGTATTACCAATAGATCCCTCAAACAAAACTGAAAAGAAACTCAGTTTTAGTATAATAATTCTTGAAGCACGTCTCATTTTAATTAAAATAATGTACCTTCGTCGTGGGAGAGAGAAAAGCGTGTTCTTTTTTCTTGAGTCTCAATCCTGTCGCTACTACCTTCTGCTCCACCGCTGTGTCCATTGGCCAATTCTCCAGGAAGATTTATTGTCATAGAATTGGAATCAATATTCCTCTGCATGCACAAAACCTATGGTCGAAAATTTGAGTGGGTAGATAAGATAAAATATTTCCAATGAAAAAAAACAAAAATAATAATAATAACGTACCTTTTGTTCACTTAATAATCCCACAGATTCGCCGATACTTGAGTTAAAAGGGATAATCAAGACACCGAGGGGCATTTTCTCAGATGGATCATCCTCAGGACCAGAAGCACCATTAGCTTCATCGCCAACATCGGAAACACAATTGCTGCCAGAGTTTCGATTTCCTCGAGTTTTACCTGCTATAAAAAAAACCATTGCGTAACCATCTTCTTTGACGAATATTGATAAATAATCTTATTTGTCTTACCTTTGCCCAACAGACTGCTTTTTTTGTTTGGCGTTTCTGACGAAGAATTACTGTTCGTTGTCTTATTAGCATTGAGGACAGCGGAAGGTAACTGAGACAACATATCATTGAGCTGCTTGTGATCAAATGCTGGTGTTACAGTTGGTGGTACCTCTCCGTCTTCCATTGCGCTCGCCTCTGCCACAGACTGGGCGACACTATTAACCGATTGGAGCAAATTAACGAGATTAGTGAGCTCGTTTTCGGTGAAAAGGGCAGCAGAACGCGATAATCCCTGTAACTTGTTAGCCTCGATGACGCTAGGCTCTTCCTCTAGCTCTTCCATTGCGCCATCCAACATAGTTTCTAATATTGAAGACACCGAGTCCTTTTCGAATCTTCGATAGAGATCCGCTACTTTAGGGTCGATGTTTTGATATTTTATCAGCGAGAGCATTTGTAATATCTGACCAATTTGCATAAGGTTGAAGCGAGCTACGTAACTAATGGGAGCATCAGTGATCCCATAGGGTTCAGGATTTACTATGGCTGGACATATGAAATACGTGAACACGAGGTCCGTACACATTGTATGGATTTCTTTTGAATCAACCTGGCCGTTTTTACTCAACAGACCGGCCATCTGGCGCACTAGCCAATACACACACGTTGGAAAGCAGTGCATATTCTCGCGAATACTGATAATGAAGCGCTGAGCTATGCGTACCAATGAGTTGACCTGCAATCATTAGAAGTACAAATAAAGTATAAGATATTTTGTTCAGTATTAAAACATACAATGTTTGATTTCAATAAGTTCACTTTGATACATTCCAAAAGCATTCTCGAAAGACAGTTAAAACAAAATTATACGTAACTATATTGTAGGGCACAAAAAAAAAAAAAAAAAATGGAAAAATAAACGTACCGTCCAGACTCTATATCTCTGCAATTTAGTTTGATACTCAACGGTACCTTCCTTGCCAAATTTTTTCAGTCTCTCGCAAGGTGGGAACCGAATCGGCGCTTTATCTGGATCAATATCAAGAAACATCTCATCCTCTATCAGCAGCTGCATAATGGGTCCATTCAAAGCAGCAGTCAAAAATAACTTAGCAGAAAAGAGGCTCTCGTGAAAAACCGAGTAGAAACGTGAAAAGGCACACGTGCCATGCCTTAGCAATCGTCTTGGATTATCAGAAGGGACGATTTGCAAAAGAATGAGATGGCGCAGGAGTTTTAAAACGAGAATTTTGTCCTCAGGTAAAAGGCAACTGCCATACAGTCCACTCGCGAGGGACTGTATCACGTTTTGCATCATTTCTGGAACGATTTTGTCGCCTTCCACCAGGCAGGAGGCAAGCAGTTTTGGCGATTTTCTCAGCGAAGACAAAAATTCGCCATATGCTATACATGACTGGTAGGGCAATTGCTTAAATGCATCAATAAACCGGGAATTTTCTAAAATATTTGCTCTCTGACAGCAGGAAGCTGGTGTACAATCAGGCCTTGACACTATCAGACGATTCAAATTAACCCTCTGCTGAGCGGTTATCCATGCCTGTTGTGCTAAATCTGATGATAAGCTCAATACCTACAACAATTTTTGGAATAAAGTTTCTTGTTAGATGAATTTTGTGGGTTTAAATTTTTATACTCACCTTTTCATTTAAAAGTTGTAAATTTTGTTGCTCTGAACTCACAAAAAGTCTTTCCTGATGCAAATGCCCAGCAAGCTCAAGCATGTCCCACTGAAGGGTTCCTAAAGATTCAACACTATTTACCGAAGACATTGTGTATAAATAACTGAAAATGTAAAATTAGCATTTTAAATACACATTTGGATTGAAAAGTTTTTCAAATACTGTCCCGTACTGTCAAACAAGAAGAGAAAACATCCATTTTCAACTTACCTTGTAAATATATATGTGGGTAAGTTGAAATCGATTATGAAAAAATACTGCGTCTGTTCATCGATGATTATCTAAATATATATTGCTATATTTCTGAAATGCTGTGTAATAGTAATAATAATAATAATAATAATAATAACAATAATGACAATAATTGTAGTGCACTTAATACTTGAATCTTCAAATTAGCACGTTAATTTCTTTGAAAAACTAGTAGCCAGTGCATACCAGCTACTACAATAATGCATTATTGAAACATAGTATACTTGCAACAATAACGACAACAGCATTGTAGCAGTACCACATCCGCACAATAATGCAAGGGAAACTATTACAGAGCGTAAAAGACAAAACAATAGACAATGCAAAAATCCAAGGTCACACGGCCCAGTCACGGTCAGGCTCTCTTGGAAATTCCCTTTTTGTCGTCATCAGCTTCACTTCGAATAAGGTAATATAACAAAATCTCCTATCTTTAGTCTCGATATCCTATCCCGTACGGTTTGTCGTCGTCTTCATCGTCGTCGACGTCGCTACGTTTTGTTCACAACTTTTTTTCGTTGACTAAGTAGCACTAGCACTGAGAACTCGCACTCGCACCTAGTATCAGTGTACCACCCCCCAGAGAAAGTTACACACAAGTAAATATTTATTATATATCATACATTGTCAAGGACTGCGCTCTAGCTACTGTTGCTTATTGTCAGCGCCATCTAGCGTTGTGATTTTTTCGACGAGGCTTTCGATTTCGAGCGATTCGCTAGGGGAACCGTCTTGAAAAAAACCCTAGATTTTAGTGTTGCTATCACCTAGTTATCACTATATGTATATATTTTCAATCTAGAGGGTTTTCCGTCAGAAAGAAATCACTGTACAATAGTTCAAAAATACAACGCTAGATGGCGCTTGTTGGGAAAGATGTGGAACTACACCCTATCTTATCGACGGCTGACAATGGGTCGAGAAGACACCTGCAACGGGTGAGTGAGTTAACCGTCGGTATGACAGGAACCGTTTTCTGAATCAGTACCGACCGCACGATCTCTGTATGTATAGTGACTTCCTTCTGGTGGAAAACCCTAGGTTAAATATATAGCAACACTAAAATCTAGGGTTTTTTTTTCAAGACGATTTCCCCTAGATAGACAGATTCCGAAAATCACAACGCTAGATGGCGCTGAGTTGAAAGTGAAACGGACTCATTATTTTTATTTTCTTATGCAAGTACATTCCAAACCGAACACGTAATCACATTTGTAATTAATATTGATGTAAAATTTTCCATTTCAATTGAAATGGCTGTGTAACTTAAGTTAAAATCCAATAAAAATCATCCAATTCAATTCAGCATTAGCTGGCTATTATATACATAGTTCAGCCTACTGGTTCAGTCAATTTTAATGACAGTGGTTGAGTGGTAAGAGAGTGGTCAGTGACGTTAGTTGCGTACTTATAGGTATTTAGTAAATTTGCGTGATGGTAGACTTTTCTCCAAAACAATATGTGGTAGGTAGGTTCTAAGTACTCTTGGATAAACATGAGTTTATGAGATGAATGACTAAGGTCTTGGCAAAACGAACTTAATTAATAATTGAAATTTTACTAATAAATTCTATATATTCTTAAAAATACAAGTTTTGTGATCACTTCAATGAACACTCGTAATATACATACAAAATAATTATTACAATTCTGTGTTACTTATTTCAGTAAAATTTGTACGTGGGATATATTGAATAAAAAAATTATGTGACATAACCTGTCGTTTTGCTAGTTAGCTGTACATACTCATATACATATATTGAATACCAATAAATGAGTACGTTATTGGATATTTTTTTTTGTTTTTGTACCATCTGATTTTTTATATCCGTACAATATGATATTTATTTCATAAAACATTTTCTCCAGGAATGTTGAAATATTCTACATATTTTGAACTATCATGGGCATACAGTTTATAGTTTGTCAATTGAATTTGTCCTCCATGACAAAAAAAGTAGGATCAAACTTTTAAAAACTTTGATGGCATTAGATGAATGACATGTACCAAGTTCTCATCAGCGGTTATTATTTAACAAATGTGTCGAGTGGAAAACCATACTATGTTTACACCATTGAATTGTTAGACCTGACTGATCAAACAAAATATATTATTGAAAAAAGATATAGTGAATTCAGCAGTCTCCATAATGTGGTAATTTGGTTTTAGTTATTTTTTCTCAATGGTTAATTTTTATTCAAATATACTTTTCATTGCAGCTCAAAAAAAATTATCAAACAGCTCCGTTTCCTCCAAAACGTGTGCGAAACTCTAATCCTAAGGTTTTAGAGCAAAGACGAGTAGCTTTAGAAATTTATATCCAAACAATGTTGAAATTCACAAACACAAAACAACAAGTACTCAACTTCTTAGGTGTCGATGAAGATACTCAAAAAAATTACGGTGAAGCGTAAGTATGACTTTTTTTTTTAAATTGCAATCTCTGCAATATGATAAGTTTGATTCAATTTCCTTTCCAGAGTTCATAATAATAAGTATAACGTTTTACCCAGGTCTCTTAGTAATCATCCAGTATTAACGTTCCAGTGTGATCCTTATGTAAATGCAAGTAATACCACAAATCTTCCAGATATTGTAACAAATGGGGTATTACTTGGTATTTATAAATCATAAATGAAAACCTGTATATTTATGTATATATTTACGTAGAAGTGTAAACAATAAGCATGAAGATGAGTTTTTCAATAAATAATATTATATTTTTCTTAGATGTTTTTGACTTACTTATTGATTTTTTTTTTTATTTAAGCATCTTATAATCTGATCTTGTTGATTATTGCACTGAAATTTTTTTTTAAATTCAATATTGAATGAATAATTTTTTGTACACATTTGTACTACTGACTGCGAGCAAAAACTTATGAAATTAAAAATTGTCCAACACTTGATACAAATTTTTTTAATCCTCATAATTGTATACATAAATAAGTCATAAATTAGGATAGAGGTAAAAAAATATTTTTGCAAAATTTTTTTTTTTCAAATGAATATATTTGATATTTTCATAATTAAATATGTTTTTAATAATTATAAAGCATATTTACAAGTTTCATATAAAAAATTTATTAAAACGTATGACTTAAAAATATTATTTTGCATTAATGTCAAATAATACAATATCAGTATAATAAACGTTAGCAAAATTAATGATAATTAGTAATTTGATACTAGTTACTACATTATTCTTTCATTTACACTACATATTATCTACAATATTACTATTTTCATCCAATTTATATAATTTTTTTTCTGTAAGATTCGCTATCATATTTAATAATAATTATTATTGGCAGCTCTGGTTTTACTGGAATGTATTAAATGTGTATTATACACATTTTCTTACCTTTTATCAGAGTAAATTTATTTCGTTTGTATCGAATATGCATGATTTATTTATATAATTGTATTTTTCGCATTAAAAAAATTAAGGTATAATTTTTTTTACAAACATACAATACTACGATGTGATGAGTTTGTCATGATAAACTTGTTCGCAAAAAAATTTTTTACACAATCACAGTACAATTAAAAAAAAGCATTGATATCGTAATCGAAGCTTGTTCATGGGTGCATCGTTGCATACACGCTGTACTGTACACAATAATATGCAGTGGTTTCTAAAAAATTCTTATTCACATGATATTAATGCACTTTTCGAAATGTAATTAAATTTTTCCAATTACAATTATAATATTATTACGATAGTAACAATAATATTGTTTATTGAATATTTGTACGCGCGTAAAAATAATAAGGTATTTTTGTCTGTACGAATTTGTGTTTGTATTATACTTTTACTTTTTTTACTCATGAATACAATGAACAAATGTTTCAATTGTTCTTGCAAATTACTACTGGCAAAATAATTTTTGAAACTTATTAAGCTAAGCTGAAGGGCTCTAGAATAATTTTTCTTGTAAAAATCGTAAAATTTTATCGAAACTCTTATATCCAACAATTTAATTTAACTATACGATATTTTTACATCATAGTTTTCGAAAAAATCCGCAATGAAGCGCTTAACATAAAATTTTCTAACAAATAACATCGCGTTTAAATATATCTGCACACATGATTCTTCATTTTAGGCAATATTAACGCTACTTATGTACATACTATCTACTATGCTTTTCAATGTCCCCGTTGTACATAACGTGTCTTTTAATTTCCACAATTTCAACATAAGCAATATCATTTTCATATTTTCACTTATTCCTTTAAAATACTGCAAGAAGATATTTATTTTTTCTACATATTTCTTGCGGAATTCGTTCTCTTAATTACAAATAAAATAGTAATTTTAAGTATGCGCAAACATATATTTTGAATGTATAAAAAATATCAGTTGCACAGTTTGACACTTTACTTTATATTTGTGCGTATTTATTTTTAAATTACTATAAATGATGGTAGACTTTTCTCCAAAACAATATGTGGTAGGTAGGTTCTAAGTACTCTTGGATAAACATGAGTTTATGAGATGAATGACTAAGGTCTTGGCAAAACGAACTTAATTAATAATTGAAATTTTACTAATAAATTCTATATATTCTTAAAAATACAAGTTTTGTGATCACTTCAATGAACACTCGTAATATACATACAAAATAATTATTACAATTCTGTGTTACTTATTTCAGTAAAATTTGTACGTGGGATATATTGAATAAAAAAATTATGTGACATAACCTGTCGTTTTGCTAGTTAGCTGTACATATGGAATCATAACACGGAGATTAAAATTTTTCTACGGCATGGGATCCTAAATTTATTAATGGAAACAACATTTTTACATGTATCCAAAAGTTGGATGCTATTAAAGTTGTGGGACCGAAATCTTATAAATTTAACATTCTAACGGAAAGTGCT